TCTGAGACATGGGTCTCAACCCCTGGAGTGACAGGGAGCCTTTCCCATGTGGCCAGAATTCCAAGGACTCTGCATCCAGGTTTCAGCCTCTGAAGAGATTTTAGCTCATTCCTTCCTTCAGTAGCCATTTATTTCTTCCTAATTCATCAAAACAACTGAGTGTTACGTCTTGATCCCTCAGCTGATTACAAGTGTAAAATGGGGAGCCAGCAGGCAAAGTCCTTTCCTTGATATCCAGTGGGAATGACACCAACACATCAGGAATCGAATCAGTCGTTTCAACTCCAGTGCAGGGAGGGGTGGATCAGCCACCTGAGGGGAAGGTCTGGGTGTTCCCAGCTCTGACTGATTGTTACTGTAGGTAATTTGTTTCTAGAGAACAAATAAATTAATTCTCCATTTGGTGTTATTTTCTAGACCACAGTCACTCTCTCTGAAATGGGGATGCCTAAGGATAGAACTACCAATGTTTGTTTTAGGGATCACGCTGGAATGGAGGAGAGGTAATGGCTGCAGACAGACCTTGAGTCACTCCCATGGTCTGTGTGGCTCTGCTTTAGTGACTATATCTCCCTGTGCCTTGGTTTCCTCTCAATGCAGTACGATGAACATTTGACTGCCAGGGTGTCATTGTATTAACAATAAAATATTCACAATATATGACTAAACATTGGGACAGGGGACCTGCTCAAATGAGGGACATCTGTTATTGATCAACTACAAGAGAGAATCTCCTGGGCTCATCCCTGGTGGATGAGGAGCTGTCAGGAACATCTTTCCTCCTTTTTGTTCCCTGTGATTCTAACCTTTCTCTGGACTCTCCTAAATGTTTCAGTGTAGTTCACAAATGGCCTGGCGACCTTGTCCATCAGTGCTAGCCACAGACAGTCCCAGGTGAAGCACCTCTTCTATCCAGATGTGGCTCATGGGCATGAGCTCTGGCTTCTGAGCAGCTCAAAAGCCTTGTGACTCAGACACCTTGGAAACCATTGCGCCCACTCAGCCCTTCCCAGGAGTTTAACTCCAACCTGACACAGGATCCTCAGGGTCTCTGGAGTCAGAAACCCTGGGACAGGGGTCTGGGCAAGGCTGCCAAAGCTGAGCTTCTTTATGAGGATTGCAGGGGGCTCCTCAGGATGGGCCCTGGCCAAGCCCTGCAGGGTCTTTCTCAGGGTCATGGTAATGGGGAGGGGCCGAGGAAAATAGACTGAGACTGGTCTCTTTCTGCTGAGCGACTCCCATCACACTGGACCTTCTCTCTGTGGAGAATTTCTGCAGGGCTGGAATCCGGGAAGGGAACTCTGATCTTAGAAAGTTTGTTTCCACTGTGTGTGCCCTGCACTAAATGCCCAAACCCAACCTGGGAGATAATGCAGAGGTGGATGGAGGCAGAGTCCAGGGCTGTCATTCCTGTGTGTTCACCCACTCAACACCCAGAGGTCAGAGAGCAATCACTCACCGTATACATTGAGCCGTTCAAATCCTATTTCTTTTTTTGAGCCTCAAAAGTAGACTACTATAGTGTAGTTTCCTGTGTCCTTCAGGGTGACGCTCTTTATCAGCAAGGATCCATCAAAGTTTATTTGCTTTCAACCGCTGTGTGCACGCCCTGTTTTATAAGTTCTTATGTGCAATGCAAGACTTGCAATATTCAGTCTGTAGTTTGCTCCTTCCCCCCTGTACCACATGAATCCTATATAATCGGCAGGCATATTGCAGATACGTAGAATCACATCCTTCCCTTCGGCAGCATTAGTTGACACAATAGCGAGTTGGACAGTGGTGGGCAGGCTCCAGAAATTTTAGAATGAATCTAGGAGGGAAGAGAGAAATTGATCAATATTTGGATGTATATGTTGAGATGGAAAGATGAGGCCCTAGATTTCGAACAAGATTCTTCATCTCAGCCTAGGTGTGTGTGTGTGGGTGTGTGTGAGTATGGTCAAGGTCAACAGCATGACCACTAATACTTCAGCACCTGTGAACCTGTTACTTTTTCTGTTTCTCAGTCTTTTTTCCAGGTGTCTGTTTGGCTCACTCACTCACTGCTCTCAGACCCCTGCTGACACTTAGGGGTGTCCATGGGAGGCACCTTCAGGGAACACTTCCCTAAAGACACTGTTAATCACTTTCTGACCTGTCTCTGCTCTATTCCTGTTATAACACTTGTGGGTACCTGCCATCACATGGAGATATTTTCTTACCTCTCTCCACCCAAAGAACGTGAGCTCAATGGGGACAGGTGCTTGTCCGATCTTGCATCCCCAGTGCCTGCAACAGGCTGCAAATACCTGTGGGTGAATGAATGTTCCCAGAGTCCTGCACCTCTTGGGGTGTATTTCTCCTGAGGCTGGTGGTAAGGATGATGTTTGTACCCCTGGTTAAGTTTTTCTCTGGTGCCACCTGAAATAAATTGTTATTATTATGGTCACTTTCCAAAATTCAATACTCAGTGATGAATAACATAGGAATTAACAGCAACTGAAGTTTACCTGCCCCACACCACTTCTAGATCATGAGATTTCCCAGTTACCTGTTACCCATCTCTGTTACCCATCCTACTCTGCCCCACTGTCCTCTCCCCTCAGGTCCACACTAAGCCCTCCCTCCACTCTCAGAGCGCTGTTCTCCCCAGGAGACCCCAGGAAGTCCCTGTCTTTACCTCTTCAGTTCACCCCTGAGGGATTTTTCCTTCCTTACTGGCCAACAGGAGCCAATTCCAGGGGACAGGACCTCTGTAGACAGGGGCTGAGAGTGACTCCATGGGTCTGCTGCCTGCACTATCCTCCCTCTATGAGAAGAACTTGGCATCAAGGAAAGCTCAAAGGCACCACTATAGAAGCTGGTGGGATCTGCTGTCCCTCTGCACTGTGCACTGGGCCTCCTCCTGGTGCAAGATCACTTACCTGGTCACATGGACCAGGGAAGAGTTTGTGCCAAAGGCCCACCTCCTCCTCACCTCATTTTTGCCACCCTTTCCCCCTCCTTTCAGCTTAACATCCCTCTAAATTTTGGTTCCCTTGGAGCTTCTGAGGTATCTGAACATACACACACACACTCACACTCACAAACACACACACACACACACACACTTACATGCTCTGTTTTGAAAAGCACCAGCCTGGGGCATCCAGGGCATATGCATTCCTCATGGCTCCCAGTCAAGTGCACAGTAGACTTCCCCACAACCCTCTCTCTTTCACATTTGACTTTTACCTTCAAAGCAGGAACTCTTGTCACTGGGATGTCACCAGTGCTGTTCATCGGATCACCTGTGAAACATTGTAAAGATTGCGATGCCAAGGTGACACCATAGATGCTGCTTTAGCAGCTGTCCAGCTAATGTGGATGCCCAACCAGGATGAGATTTGGTGATGTGGTGATGGGACACCCCTCCCCCTCTCCTTTTCACAGTGAGGGTCTCCACATCCTGTTAAAATGCAGATTCTGACTCTGCAGGTGTGCGGTGGACCAGAGACTCTGAATCTGATGAGCTCTCAGGGAAGGTGGGTCTTACTGGCCTGTGGAGCCCACTTGCAACAGCAGGGCTAATGGGGTCACGTGTCCCCTGAGAGGATGATCCTCTCATCCCAGCATTGGCCTCTGTAGTGTCTTGGTTTTGGGTCTGTCAGCACCACACAGAGAGCCCCACAGGCCCCAAACTGGGGATTATTTCTGTTTGTAACACAGAAACCCAGCCGGGCACCTTGTGTACCCCGTGTTCTTAAATGCACTGGGAAGCTTAAATTTACTCCCAGGAGGAAGGCCACAGAGGTGACTGTGGGTGTGAGAAGGGGTCAATCTGGGTGACGACTACAGAGGGGACCCTCCCTCTATCTCAGGTTGTCACCAGCCTGGCCTTTGCTTCCAGGGACAGAGACCCAGGACCAGGAGTCTCAGGAGGCCCTGCAGTTCCTGGGAGTGAAGGGGAAGGTGTCCTGCATATCCTGGGAAGAGAGGACTGTGGTGGGAGCTCGGGTGGCTGTGGGCTCCCTGTTCATCAGGGGTAGTTTCTGGGAGACCCTCCCACTCTTTTTACTCAGCCTGTCCTGGTTCTCCCTGACCTTGGCCCGGTGTCAGTCCTCTGCCTGGGTGAGTTTCTTTTCATTACCCGACCTTGTTCATGGGTGGTGCCAGGCATGGGACAGGGAGCAGCAAATAGAACCCTGAGAGAGCAGGTCCTCTTGGGCCTGTTAAAGTAAGAAACTTCCCAACCTGTGAAGATTTTCATGACTTTATTTGAACCAAGCTCAAGTCATATGCCTGGAACAAGATATCAAATCCTGAGCTTGGAAGTTGTGCAACTTATTTTATACATTATAATAAAAAAAGTAGATGGAAAAAGTTGTGTGTAATCCATTAGGAAGTGAAGAAATCTGGGGCTGATTCCATCTCAGACGGGCTGAGGGTCCAGCGTATTATGAGTCCAGTGTCATGAGAACTGTCCCTCTGGTGGATGTGCTGTTTCAGGAGGAACTCTCTGTCCCAAAGGTTTCAACTACAGAACCTGGTGATGTCTCTTCTGAGGCTTTTCTTAGAGTGTGCCAAACTGGAGGGCAGATCCCCCAAATGCCCTGTGTGTCTCCATTTTCACCTTGGGGTGTTGCATCCAAGTCACCTGTGTCCCTGTCCATCCTCTGCGGTAGTCCTCCCCACAGGGCCCAGGATCTGAAGCAGCTCCACTTGGTGTGTCAACCACAGGATCTGTGGGTCCCTCTGTTAGGGGAGGGGAGGCCCCTGTGGGACCCTCAGTCCTCTGAGATGGAAGCAACCCCAGATCCTGGGTTCTCCTGTCCCATCTTGTTTCGGAAGTTCCACTTGCTCCCCAAGACATCCTGGGCGGGTGAGACGTTCAGGGACTACAGGCAGATTTCCCACAGACCAGGAACCGTGTGCTTGGGAGTCATCCCCATATTCCTTTGAAGTCAGTGTGCGCTCTCTTTTCCCATTATAGTACCTCTACCTGGTGTGAAAGGTCCATAGCGTCTGCCAGGTCAGGGCTTTGTGAGAAGACAAAGAACACAGGCTGCTGTCCTGGCCCCAGGTATATGAGACATCACTCACAAGGTGGAAAGGGGGAGGGCTATGATTTTCTGGGAATGAAGAAAGGTGTGACTCTTCACTGTTAGTTGATCCTATATCCCACCCCCCCGATAGTGTGAGGGGGAAAAACCCTTCCCTGGGTCATCCCCACACACTTGTGGCCTCCTCCCATGCTGACACCAATGTCTTCGTGCCTATAAGGAACATAGTTTGACCACTAGTGTCACACAGGTGACAGGATTCCATTGGATGGTTTCTCTCATCCATTTAATGAGTGTTTACTGAGCATCTGTGATGTGTCAGACCCGGGATGGGCCCTGGGGCCTGAGAGAACAGGAAATAGGTGGGACCTGTGCTCATGGAATTTACCTTGTAACAAAGACAGGCTCTAAGAGAAATCACAACACTAAGGAGTTAATTATAATCCAGAGAAGGACCATGAAGAAAGTGTTGTACGTACTTGAGTCTCAGCTTGTCTTGGTATCACAGAGAGTACTTCTGATAAAGTGACCTCTTGGCTGAAACCTGAAGCATGAGTGTCCATTCACCCTTTGTACAGAGGGTGGTGGGGAAGTGCTGCCTGCAGAGGACTGGACTTTGGTGGGCAGACGCCTGGCTGGATGGAGGAGCTTTCGAAGTCCAGTGTGGGCAGTGTGAAGAGTGAGAAGGAATGTAGACTGAGTAATGCTGGTGAGGTTGGACCCTCTGGGCTGTGGGTGCTGCTGAGGTGGGGTTACCAGACACCAGAGGAGGCTGCAGGCTGTGGAATAGCTCACCCCCCTTTGATGGACAAGCTGAAATATGTGTAAGAAAAAAAGTCAGGTTACAGTTTTGAATTTTCTATTCAACTTATACTTTAAGCAATATTTCATATGTGTAGAGTAAAATTTTAACATATTTATTAAGTTTTAGTTGGCATGAAATAACCTTACCATTTTGGAAGAATACAATTGATTAAGCATTGCCAAATGCATGCACCAGAGAAGTTGTTACAATGAAGAAAACGAAAATATTCTTCCCTTTTAAAGCCTCCTTGGACCCTCTTATAATCTCATTACTCTGTCCCCCTTCCACTCCTTCCAACTCTTTTCTGCTTTCAGTCATTATTGATGAATTTTCATTTTCTGCAGTTTTCATAATTTGAACCATATAATATGTAATTTTGGGCGAATGTTGGCTTCTCGATTCAACACCATCATCTTGAAATAGTTCTTTCCTTTTTAATCCCTCAGGTCTATTCCATTGTAGGATGCACCAAACTTGTTTAGCCATTTGCCCATTCATGGACATTTGTGCTGATTCCCATTTTGGACTATTACAAGTAAACCAGGCATTAACATTTGTGCAGGAAGGTCTTTAGCACACAGAAAAAGGTGCATGTAAAACCAATGCAGGGCTAGAAAAATGGAAGTCAGGGAGTTGACACAGGAAGTCTGGTTTCAAGGTCCCACTGCCACAGCCCCACCCAGAGGGAAAAAACACCTGCTTCTTCACATAAAGCTCTGTCTGCAGAACCCACCCATCAGGAGCAGGAATCACAGCCCCTTCTCCCTCCCAGAGTCCAAACTACACACAAGTGCATCTCAGAGGCTGACATTAATTCACACCTGGGTTCCCAGTCATTAGAATTGGGAACGGTGGTATTTAACCTTTCAGCCCCTCTGGTATAGGAGGAAATATAGAAATGGTTTCAGAATAGATGTCAAGTGCCAATAGACAATACATGGCATGGTTGAGTCCACTTGCAGGCTGTGTGACTCTGGGCAAGTGATCTCACCTCAAAAAGCCTCAGTTTCCTCATGTGATTTCATAGAAAGATATTTCCTGGTTCTTAGAATAGAGCAGTTTAAATTGTTGAAATTTTCTGAGTGATATGGGCAATAAGAGTGTCTTTCGTCCCGATGAGGCAACTCCTGACAGGCCTCTGGATAGTTGCAGGGTGAGGACAGGTTGCCATAAAGGCCAAATCTTGATTAGAAGCCTGGAATTTTCAGCTGCCAACGTGAGAAACATTTAAACCTGTAGAGAATTTTTATGAGTTTATTTGAGTCAAACTGACGACAATTTCCAGGAAGCAAAATCTCAATGAAAAGTGTTAGTTTTGCACGGTATGTTATACGTTACAATCAAAGCAGGATGCATAAGGGGTTAAATAACATCCATTGGTAATAGATTAGGAAGGTGGGAGAAAGCAAAACTGGGAAATCTCTGAGATTGGATAAAAAGTAAAACAAATAGACACATACTTCTTTTGCATTGGTTGATAGAGGATAGTTAGCAGCTAACAATTAATATTATGACAATAGCAATCACGGAGTCTGTGGCTTCTCCTCTGGTGCAGGGAGGGTCTGGAAAAAAGAAAAAAAATCCCTGATATTCCAAATGTAACTTATCTCCAATGTAAAAAGACAATAGACATGTTTAGTTAACATAAAGATTCAGCATTGTTAGGAAAAAATACTTAAGACATAATTACCATCATGACTCACTTTTAGTTAGAAACTTGTCATTTCAGGCCATCCTATGTGGTTACTTTAAGTCTCTGATTTTGCATATCATACTTTGCAGGCCTCCTCTGAGCTTGTCAGCTTTAGAACGTGGCCCCATTTTCATCCACACCTCCCCCTTTGGGTCATAAATCAAACGGAATGATTCACTGATGACCAACCTTTTGGTTGGAAAATGTGGTTTCATGGGGCTAGAAAGGCTCATCACTGGGAA